CCCCAAAACCCCAAAACCCCAAAACCCCAAAACCCCGTATAAGGAAAACTCTGCTGAACTCTTTAAATCAATTAATAAGAATAATGACTAAACTGTGATTTGCTTTACTTGTCGGATTTTGTTTGTGACACATTGACAATTTGGAAAGGAGCCTCACTGTTTCATCAAGCCAGTCAGATTGAAAGACTTGTGTCAATAATGGTTCTCAGAGGTGGTGAGCTCCTGTTGGAATTACTCAAGCTGATGGAGAGTGCTGTAACTCTGGCGATACCTCTGGCTATTGAGCAAGCAGTAGTATCTATGCTTGCTCTGGGTCCACCAACATCCAGGGTACTGCAGGGCTGATACTTTGCCCAGAGGTTACTGCAAAGTGTGGAGTCACGGACCACCTACTACAGAATACTTATCAGTATCGATCAATAGTGGTAAGTTCTCTACCTTCCGATGCAGTATGAGCTGAAAGGTTTTACACAACTACAAGCTCTATTGACCAAGCCAAGATATTGATGAGTAAGTGTTAGCCAATTCTTTTTAAGCGTCATTAATAAAAGAGCAAGTATTAGTACCGAGGTGAGCTAGAACACTGGTTGAGGACAATTTTTAACAATATACAGTTCTTATTGATCGCTAAACAGCCAGTTATGTAAAATAGCATCACTATCTTAAGATAAAAGACCTCTATAGTTACTTTTATACCTGATACAGGCCATTATATTAAAGTTTAAATGACCTAGCACAAGTCTAGAAGTAGTTGAACCAGGTATACAAATCCTTGTTAGTGATGACATTTGATATCAATAGCAGTTATCATTATCTTTTCCAAAGTTTATTCTCTCATCTGGGCTCCACTCTTTGTTTGTTATTATGTAAATTCTTTAAAATAAATGTATCATGGAGGTTTTTAGTAAAGTTTCTCTGCAGGATTAGCATTAGCAAGTGATTATATTCTTTATTAAGTATATAAATCAACATGACGATCTTCCTAATTAATGTGAGATGCTTATTATCAATGCAAGAGACTCAATGAGCATCAAATTTAATATCGGAACATCACTTTTTCACTCTCTATTTAGTCTCAAATGAGTTTTGACTTGGTTCAATATACTTGCTTCTCTTAATAGTTTTATGCTAAGAATAGATCTGTTTCAAAGGGATGAAAGCATATTTAGTATATCATCCTCTTTTATGGTTAATTTTTCTTTCCTTAATCTTGCGCTCATTCCAAAATTTGTTCTGAAAATCCCACTGAAGCTTCAACTGCTAAAGTCTTCAGGCTTCAGGCTGACTTTGTCCGAATAAATTAGAGGCTTAGGCTGTCACTGAAGGTTTTAAAGGACTAAAGTAGCTTAAGAAGATAATAATTGAGTTTTAATTTTACCAAGCTATGATAAGTTTTGTCAGCTTTTGTTTAAAGGAAATTCTGATGGGTGGCTGAAACGAGTTAAGGGATTAGAGGGGAAGAGTGAAGGGATGGAGAAGACTGGAAGGCTAATAGATTAGCGGAAGGATTGGTTAGAGATGAACTATACTAGTTTCATTTGGAATAATTTTTATTATAGATAGCATTTATGGAGCAACTGCAACAGTTTATAAAGCACCAAGAGGAGAAGCAAACTATACAAGGATAGGTACACTGAATGCAGGCTATTTAGCGACACTCTCCTTCAGTTCCTCTGTTGATGTTTACCTAGTGATCGACCCTTACCTAACAACTATTAACTATAATATAACTGCTATTGGTGCAATTGCTCCTGTTTCCAGCGATTCTTCAAGCTCATCTAGCTTCGAGAGTGATAGTATCAGCATAGACTCAAAGACGGATTTGACTGTCTTATGGGTTATATTAGGCATTGTTGGAGGACTAGTTTGTATCGTTATTTGCCTTATCGTCACCAGTTGTATCTGAAAGAAAAGAAAGCGAGGTGTTCACCTGGGCCCTCCTTCCCGTCCTTCCAACCTCCGTCTATCTTCACCCAATTTCAACCCTCCATCACCTCCAGTCCATCCAGTGGAATGCTCACTTCCCCCAATCCAGCCCACTCGTGTATCCAATTTCAAAATAGCTACAGACACGACTGGGCTCAACCTTGCTCCTCTCTCTGAAATAAGCATCGTTCCCAACGGTAATCCCTTTATAATATCTTTAGCCAGACCAGCTTCTGAAAAGCAAGAGGAGCCTTAAGACCACAGTTAAGTTTCTTTATAAGCTTCATTCCCAATTATGTACCTGCCTGACTGAGCATGGGCGAACGAGTGCCAATTGGATGGGTAAAGAGACTTAGTGAGAATTTTATGGTGTTAGGAAATCTTCAATTCCTTCCAATTAGAAGGGGTTTTGGGGTTTTGGGGTTTTGGGGTTTTGGGG